GAGGATAATTGGTAAACGATGTTGTAATAAAACTAATCTATTAAAATGGTTGATTATTTGTTCCAATTTGATAATTCACCATCAAATGACAGGGGTGATTGTACATCGGTTTTCAGGAGAACGAGAAACTCACTGCATACGTGTTATCACTAAAACGAGAACAGCCCAGCCCAATCCTGCAGGGCAACCGCGCATGTACCTTTTTAACCATTTATATGCACTATTAAAGCACCTCAATGACAATGGTCCTCGCGAATGTTACAAGACAACCACTAATATCAATGAAATCGGTTACACTGCAAACCGAATTTGTATATGGACTGTTAGCAAGGCTTGACACAGTAGTGCCAAACCATCTACAATATTCACAACGATGGTCTGGTCTCATGGGAAAACTCCTGCTCTATATAGCAATTAGATTATTCTTTGTATATACATCGTTTAGCATAGAATAATGAGAGATAATGCCCAAAATAACGCAAATGGGATCAGACACATTTACCACACTTTGTCTCATATCACCTTGTCTCATTCACAACAGCGAATTTTTAATTATTCCAATCATATGAAACTTGAGTAAGGGGTAGTATCCCTGTGCTGAATTATTATTATGAAGTAATTTCTAGAATCCAAACAATATAACACTTATCAATTTGTTTGCACTGATTATCGACACACGTTTCCACCTACTAAATACGTGAGAAATAATGTGACAGGCATCTTTATAAACTCTGTATTATTAAGAGTGTTCCATATAGAAAAACATCGGCGATTTAATTTCATCCTTAATCATAGTAGATAATTTAAACATGAAACGTTCAGGAGCATGTTAAATGAAAAGATAGGCAGTTAAAGGCAAATATTTTTTAAAATAAATATTTCGTTTACTCAAATAAAATTCGTTTTGTTCACAGTATATCATTTCATTGTAATGTTTGATAATATGTTCAAGCTGACGAAACCTACTACACAGAAGATTCACGCTTACAACAGGCTAGAAGGTTTTACAAGTCCTGCATATTTAGTCGTGATTTAAAAACAGCCATTTCAAGTAATCATTTACTAATACGCGAGTTTTTTGGCGGTTGGAAACTGATACCGTCGATTTCAACGAATACAGAATATCTAAGTCTAACTGATCTATATCTACCGATAATCAGTCAAACTGGGCGTTCACTTTTATTTTCAATCAACATCATGGAGGATATTTCTGCCATACATGTAAGTTTTTCCTTCAGAAATCTAGCAAAACTTCGTTTTACGAAGTTCAAAACACCTGGTAATGTACTATAATATTGGATGTCAGAAGTCATTGGGCTCAAAGATTGTTATCGATCGGCTTTTGGCGAATGAAATCACGATTGTTGCTAATCGTTCATCAGACTGGCGAAAATTATCTTTAATTGATTCGTGTCTAACTAAAACTTCACAAAAATGAAAATATCCCTACATAGTGTTGGTAGGCACTTTGTTGCAACTCAGCAGTTTTAGCTCGTTCATTTATTTAGATTTCGTCATTGTATAAGTGACTACACCACAAAATGGATAAAATGTGAACTCGAGTTCTGTGGCATAGAAACACGAGCAGCAGCTCCTTGTGAAGATTGGCGACAACCTTTATACTTCGACTCACATATTCTTATACGAAACACTAACAAAACATAGGACCTGATATGAAGTGTGTTTGCGTTTCAGTGAATGAAATTTATTACTGAACTCTCATTTGAAAACACTACAACATCAGTATCTTATCTATGTTTTCGTCGAATAAAGGTTTTGATACTGCCTAACTCTACTCATTTCTACACACAAGATGTGTAAATGACCTAACCGGAATCTACTAATGAACAACTTTGTTAGATTACAAGTCCAAACTCTAAATACTATTATTAAAAGATAGAAAAAAATATTTCAAATTCACTTTGTTAACGGTGAGTCAAATCAATAAGTATAAACACACTACTTGAGAACTACTATTAAAAACGAGGTTTAAAGTATTCACATTTTTTATGGTTTGTTCTATTCTGTTCAATGTCAATTTATTTGTTCTATCGATCGTTAAATATCTTTTATCATGCTCCATTGATCAGATTTCACCAGGTCGAATAGGTTTTGATCCTGCTTCAGCAAAGGTAAATTTTAACCTTGTTTAAAATTTAGATAGTTTCTAGATAATTCAAGTATAACACCTGTTCTTTATCTCATGTACGCGTTACTAATATATCAAATACAATAATACTCTATTCGACCGGATAATAGAAACTACTTATGTGCCATAATAATTCACTTGTAGTAAAACTTGAGTGGTTTGCATGAATTATATTTCAATAGTCAGGTCATTTGACCTTGTTTTTCACTGACTTATAATATCAAAAATACGCATCTATCCATCATACTTATTTATGTCATTCTGAGACCATTCAAAAATTATGGGAGATAAAGATAACGAAAGTCTAATAACAGATTCTGATAATTGTCACACGTAAAGAAATCGACAAACATGCAGACGGACAAAGTGATGTGATAATTCGAACTGTTAACTACCTAGCATAAATACGATTGTAAACGATTCAGGACAGAAGTTGATTGTCATCATACTGTGTTTTCGTGGATCCTTACATGATTTAGAGTGTATAGCTGAAACTGGAAGCCATAAACTCTATGTCAGTATAAACATGCAATACGCATGATAAAATCTGTTTGGTATTTGGTTCGGAAGTATTCATACTATGCGAAACGACTACCTGCAAACACCTTGGTAACTTAATTGTAAATGCTGTCCAAACAAATGCTCGGTTTTTTCAAAAAGCTAAGAGATTTTAAATGTAACCCATCACAGAATGAACTTTCATACCACAAGTAAAGAATTTAGATAATTATAACGACTTTACTCACGCAAACCTATAGTAAGACAATTCAATTAATGGTCATTGTAAACTACAACAATTGAAAATTTGTCATTGTCCAAAAGTAAAATCAAAAACAAACGGTACATTTTGAACATTCATGCATCTTGAATAAAGTTCACCAATACATTTTTTCAGTGCAATACATTTTTTCTTGCATCTTGGTGCACTTCACCTTCTCATTAACTCAGTTTTATAAGAAACTTTCAGAATGACTAAAGGATGTTTCATATTTGATTTCACAGATTACTATAGGTGAATTCGAACGGCAATATTACAACTTTGCATTTGAGGTTGGAGTGCCCAACGATCAAAAAAGAAAGCTAACAGACGCTTTTCAAATGATGATTCATTTAAGCAGCGTGAGTTTAGTGACAAATAAATTTCAGCTTATAGAGTTCTACAGTAAGATGTGAGTATTCCATAATTTTAGTAAAATATTCTGTAAGAAATCATTCAGACACATCCTTGTAACAAGTGATCACTAGAGCGCTTCATAAAAATAGTCTCACTATAGTTTGACAAGTGTAGTAATTAATCTGAAGGCCAAAATATCTACCTCCCCAATCTATCACACAGTTAAACGTCAGAGAACTGCCTTAAAACAGACGGTTAACTACGATTACAATGCATAATCTAAGATATCCGGACGTTCGAGAGTTTCAGTCTAATCCATTTAGTTAAGAAAATTTACATAAACAAAGCATTCGAAACACTAATTTTAATATCAAGGGCAATCATAAGTAAGCAAAATTATAACAGATCACAGGTATTATGCAATTGTCTTATGAATTCTTGTTTCTAAAATGTTTATACGAACACTGAGAAAGTTATCAAAGCAAAGTTTTCATAGTGTCGTTTTCACGCAGTTCCATCAGAGCGAGAAAATCTGAATGTATGTTAAGCAAATGAAGAACAAATACATGATGATATTTAGTTATTGAAAATTATAACAACAAACGTTAACAAGGTCTCTAGAAGAATCAATCAATGTAAAAACTCATATATATTTTAAGAAGTTTCCCCTACATTTGTCTAATATTGGCAAGTTTCAGTGAATTTGTTTGTTTCATCCTTAAATGTAAGACACTATTTGGGAAACAGTGATTGCGAAGGGTCTTTGTAAAAATTTCTTCCTATCGTTTCAGGCTAAAATCAGTCTGAGGAAATTCATCCACTAGCGTTTTTGTGAGACAGCAGTATATTTTTTGTACCTATCTGATATTTCCACTAAAATTTAGTCAAAATTAGAAAGTACCATTACTTTGATATATGCTATTCATTGTGATACATTTTCAGAAGATATCAATTCCAAATGCAAGTGAATTAATACAAATTATTTCAATTGATGAACTGAACTTCATTTGTCCCCAGGTAAAATTTACTCCATAACATACCTCATTAGTGCACGTCTTACATAAGTGCCTGTTTAACTGGAGCTATTCTAAGCAAAGTTGGTAACTACCTACATGTACCATGAAATAGATATTCATGTTCACAGTCTATACCGCCACTGACCTTAACATAGTGAGCAAATCTATCGACCCATCATAAGGCTGTGCAGTGTTCTCCCACCACCAAACAGGGACAAAAAACAAGTCACATGGTGAGAATTCACTTATAGGATACTGAGCCAATGCGAAGTGCACATTGCTCAGAAACCCTATAATAGAAATAAACCGATGTTCAGTAAAATCTGATTTTTATGAGGCATTTAACTAACATCAGCTTCAGATGTAACCTATGAAAACTTTCTGTTGCAAAACGTTGCCTATTTTACAAAATACATCAAAACAATAAATACAGAGTATTAATAAAAACTGATTTTTATCATATTTACTCTTAAGAGCACTTTTAGTCTGAATTATTTAAGAAATTATCTTCACAACACGTTCACAAAGTAAATACTATTTGACTGATTTGTTTCACCTGGCACAAAACAAATATGTCACTGATCGTCTACCAAATATCTATTTTCTTTTAATGTTCTCAGCCTAAGAATGATTGCTCTATTCCATTTAGTAAACCTGTATCGTACTATCATTTTATTTTAATCTGCCTGTATAGATCGATTGGAGTTACTTATTTGAAAAAATGCTACAAGAAACTGGATATAAAAAGTTCAAAGGACTACCGATCGTTCTAGAAGGAAGATATCAACTTGAACATCGTTGCACACTATATGGCAATGTAATAAAAAAACAAAGGAAAGGAAGGTAAAGCATGGTTTTTCCCTTTTTGGTAAGCAATATACAATAGTTTAACACTGAGCAGTTTGAAAAGAAATACAAACACTATCCTTTGTAAATATTCTTGTGCCATCAAATGAAAATCGACAGTAGCAAGCTGGTTTTTATATGTCAATTACCGATAATACCGGTTTCACAGTTCTTATCTTGAGAAGCTAGACAGATTGTTTACATCAGAATTCTCAAATCAAACAACCTTCTCGAAAGATATGCAAGATTTTATCTACGGATTTTAGTCTTCCCAATATAATGCCACTGATAACCGAAATAAACGCTGACGGAGCGTGTCAAACAGACGTCATTCAATTATACTTTGTACCCAGTTTACCTTGAACCCACAGATAACACACGAGCATCGACAGATTGAAATATAGGTTTGAAACACGTTCCCAGGGTGGTTTCCCTTTATCTGCAAATACATTTATTGGATAGTCCATTGTAGGCAGATTATTGAAGCAATATTCCTAACTTCTTCATAATATGCATTATAAATTCCTTTCGACCGATACATTTACATTTGATTATTCATAGTCAACTATCTGTCTGCTGATTTATCCATCGTACATCAGTCACTGCTCTTGTTAAATTATGTAGGTAAAGTACTTTAAGTATATTTCCTACATCATACTTCAAGTGCTTATTTTTCCTTAAACAAAGTGAAGCTTTAGGCTCTACACCAACATCGTGCATTTACCATTACTGACCAGTGTAAACATAAAGTGGATTTCTTACTGTTGTTTTCTTAATACTAACTAAATTAAAGCTAATGTTTGATCTGATTTCTTCTTCAACAGTACACTTCATTCAATGGCCGTAATGGATTTTCTCATAGAGCAGCGATCGCATAGTCTAAGTGCCAGTCCCACCGGAACAGAAAATAACTCCAATCCATGTGAGTGTAAATCCGATGGTCTATTTAATTGCTTAAATCTTCAATAAGATTAACAAATCATTCGACAACTAAAAATTACGTGACATGACGATTACCTAGGTATATTTAAATTCTGATGCATCAAAGGTGACGGTTTGATTCAGGCAAAGAATTTGACGTTATAACTGGGAAGCCTGTTGAGAACGGGCACTCTTTTTATGTGGCTTTAAAACAAGAGACATAAATCCATTTTCAGTACATCAATTCTGGACAGCAAGTCAATGATATTTCAACAAAAGCTGTTCATCAAAATGTCTTTTTCAAAGTCAATGCAGTTCATAATGATGAATCGTCAAACGATAATAAATTTCAAGTTATTTCACGTACACACAATGCTCGAGCTTTATTTAGTCTAACCATATGCTAGAAGTAAAGATACCTGAATAGTGAATATGAAAGTCAGAGACGATTAAAACAAAGAATATGAGTGATTGGCACAATTTTTGGTAGCATATTAACCAATCTTCTCTCTAATGAGCATTTATATCCCAATACACATAACTCTATATTCATATAGAATTTCTTGAGAGTTTGACTAGAAATGAAACTGTTAACTTACGTTTCATAATATTTATTAACGTTGTGTTTACAAGATACGTTTATTAGCATTTCCTTTAATAACTGCTATTATAATCACAACAAGAAAATGCGTAGATCACTTGTGAGTAAATTTTCCGAAATCATATGGATCTATATTTTATTTGAATAGAGAAATAAGAAGACATATTTTGTGAGATAGTACCATTTCGTGCTTTCTCGTCAGTCACATACAAGCAACATGTTATTTGTGTAAATACAGTTTTGAAGATAAGGTCAAAATTTCTTATTTAGCATGACATTCACTCACTAGAACCATGGTAAACAAAGGTCAACATACAGTTTTTTTGAACACATAAAGTTGGACTTTTCCAACCAATCAAGATAGCTTCGAGTAGTTTTAGTGTGTGTGGGTTTTGATGACATGTCACAACTCTAAAAGCTGATTTTGGGTCAATTTGATGACCACTCATCATTAGATGTTTTGCAATGGACGAGGCTGGGTTTCTTGATCGATTTTGAGATGATGGGCTAGGTTGATGAAACATGGATTTGATTAGCCATTTTGGAATATGTTCCCCTATTCTGTCTTCCAATCGGCGATCTGTCCTCCCTAAGTAACTTTCTCCACAGTTACATGTGAATTGGTAAATACAGTGGGATTTGGACTGAATCGGTCTTGGAGACTTGATTGGGGTAACTGAGATCGATTGGGTTGTTGTGATAAGCCTCAGATTAGCTGCATTGAAGGTCTTTTTTATTGCAGCTGCAGTCTGTTTGGTTGTAATTTTCATGCAATGATCACCTTTGAAAGGTAACTGTAGGTACACTGGTTTCTTGGGCACATCAGTTGCTATCAGTTTCGTCATAGTTGTGTTCTGATGACCAATAAACGTTTCGGGATATCCCTTTAATTTAAGTGTGTCAGTAATAAGCTATCTCACAAAATGTGTCTTCTCATTTCTCTATTCAAATTTATCAAAGGGAACCACTGTTTTGAATTTCTATATTTTATTGTGTTCATTGTTAACTAGTGCCATCAATAGAAATACACCGAACAGTACTTTAGAGATGTTAATTTACATTGTGAAGTACTACAATACACTCAACACTTGGCTGAAAATATTCTTATCCATTTGATTATGAATGTCTGGTAGCACCACAAAGTGCATTAGTTGAAACAATATTATTCAACAAAATAGCAGTTTTCGGTCCAAGCAAACTTCGCATTTCATGTTATGGATTCAGGAACTAATTTAGTCTACTCAGTGAATTCTGTCAACAGATGTAGATTTGTTAATTAGAGCCGTTTTCAGGCATATTCTTGAAAACAGAATTACTCAAACTGGTAACAGTCTAAAGTTTATCTCGAAGTATTCTTCACAAATGTGAACTCTGAATCCAGTAAACAAAATTATGAACATATTACTGACACATTCCACCCTTTCACATTATAACATTATTTTATTTTGTTCAAAATAGTTTCAGGACCACGTTTTGACACACAATGCATAGGTCGATTGGAGAATGGATTTCCATGGACACTTGAAAGGCATTATATTCACTCACATGTGAATGAAACGCACAAAATGGAGGTAAGTTCATGGTATAGTTAACTAATCTTTGGAGTTTGCATGGTAGATCTACTAAACTTCAAGTTATGGTCAATGATTACATGTTGATAGGCTGATCTCAGTAGTTTCAATTGAATTAAGCATTTTATTATACAAGTGATTAGTTAGATTGCCTCTCTTATGTTTTGTGTTCAAGCTAATCAGCCTCGTTTCTTACCCGGAAACTACCCTAAAAGTAGAATGAAAGAAAGCAAGTGAACGATTGTAGACAACTGCAGATATAATGTTATCTATATAAACAATTTCATCGGCAGAGGAAATCTTGCTGCTAAAGAGAACATTTCTTTGCTGACATGTTCTTTCAGGATCCTGACTATTTCTAATTAATGCACGACCTGGAATCAGATTACTTGGTTTTCACAAAATTCCAATAGTATACTTGCTAGTAATCTAGGGATAACTCCAAGCAATGAGAAGAATGAAGTCTGTGGAATGCAAATGAGAACTATGGTATTACATTTGCATGACGAAATAACGTATACGATACAAATCATTGAAGTACATTTTATTGAAATCACGTGAGAAACACATCATTAGTATTATCAACATAATCGTTGAACACTCATATTAACCATCAATTCCGTAAGCTTTTATTGAACGACTAACAACTCATATCAGATTCCCAATCCTAACAATGTCTAAAAACCGGTCAATTCCAATCTTATTCACACATCACGAACTAAATATACTATGAGCAATACTCAATATGATTGGTTGTTTCAGAGGCGACCTAATAACTACAACTGAAAAGTGATCAGTTGATTAAACAGTCGATTAAACAGTTTTATATGTTGTAACTAATCTATCGATTAAAAGGGGCATTATGCAAGTTGAATGATAGTCAAACTAAAATAAAACATCCAACAATGATATGATTAACGATACAGTTTCATTAGTTGGCATACATACATGTCAAGGCATTTTATATGAAGATTAATAAAAGGTCAATTAAATAAAAGTTCAAATACACATAAGGTGATAAATGTAAACAAAGGAGAGAGAAAATTAACGTAATATGAAAAGAATAAGAAAGGGTATAGGAAATTGTCACACAAACCCTATGCATAAAGATTACCAGGACAAATTCAAGGTGAAATAAAAACCACCTCTTATGTGCACAAAAACAATTTGTTACAACCTTGAATTTACCCTGGTAATGTTTAAGCATAGAGTAATGTGACGATTTCCTACCCTTTCTTATTCTTTCCATATTGCTTGCTATCCAATGAAAAGACAAATTAAACTCCATATCTTTGTTCTCAGTGTAAGTCAATGAACGGCGTTTTTCATTTGCAATACACTTTAAGTGCTGGATGAATGTAGATATGCCAACATTCAATCGATTCCGGTTATCTAAAATGTGAAACATTCTAATTATTCATGTTCAGTAAAATCGCTTATTTGGCTTTTTTAATCAATGTTTTTTCAGAGGTGGAAGTTTAGATAAAAATTGAAAAAATTGCTTGATTTATTCATTACTTTGAATGCGTAAAGAACATTTGCTAACATCTCAAATGTTGACATTAACTAAATCCCGAATTTCCTTGATCAGCCTCATTTGAGGTGGTCAATCAAAATTAATATTTTGACCAAGCATGATATTTTGGGGCAGAGTTTTGGAGGTTAGTGTTGTCACACATTTTTGAAATCATCAATCAATCATTGTTAGACTACCATTATAAGCCTGCAAGCACTTTAACACCGTTGGATGCCTGCCCAGTGGTCCGATGGTTAAGCGTTCGCTCACAATACCGAAGGTCCCGGGTTCGAGTCCGGCGAGGAGCAGGAGTCGTGGATGCGCACTGCTGATGAGTCCCATACCAGGACGAAACGGCCGTCCAGTGCTTCCAGGTTTCTAATGGTGGTCTAACAATGATTGATTGATGATTTAAAAAATGTGTAAAAGCATGATATAATTGAGCATTTTTATATCGACTAATTCCTTGATAATTAAAACTTGTTGGTATTACTTTCCAATCATAATATACACTCTAACCACTGGGACAATTTTCACTAAATTACAGGTGATTAATATGTTTAAAGAAATTAAACTCACCACAATTGAGTCAATTTTACAAATCAACTGGTTAAATATCGATGAAAAGAAATTTTTAGCAGACAAGGTTTGTTTAAATTTCAGTGAGATAACATTGACTGTTACTAAAATATTGTAGGTTTTCACACTGGACATATTTGCCTTGTACTCGGATCGGGATAGTTCTGAAACAAAAGAAAATCTTTCAACTATATATGATGTAAGTTAACTCAAGTTATTTCACCATCCCAAAATCAAGATACTTAAGATTTTCCGAATTGTATTCAGTATGAATATTTTTACTATTCGTAAACTTCCTTCCTTTGAAAATTGTTTCAGTCCAACATCGTAGGCTGCAAAAGGCATTGGCCTATTCCTAATTATGTCAATAGCTAAAAGTACTATAGAGTCAGAGTATTATAGTAAATAAAATCAAGAATAGGCTCTTATAATGCAATAATTCCTCCAATTTGATTATTTGAAATTTAATCGATCATGGATTCTCACTGTGTAGGTTTTAGTTTGTGATAAACGCACATCATAAATTAATCCATTTTCTTTACGTATTTATTCATACACCAGTATTCAAACACCAGTATTTGTCGCATCCTTCAACGAAGTCATCTGAATCTAATTAGGCCTTAGTTTCATTTTCAACCGTGTGGCGATGGATGTAGTCTGAGTACTGGATTTTTGTAACAACGAGCAGATTAACAGCTGAAGGAGAAATGAAGAAAAAGAACTGTAGTTGAATTGGACACAAATCACAGAAATCGCCTTGGTGCGTCACGAGACAAGCCCCAACTTAGAAGGAAAAGCGGAAATCCAAGGAACTCATTACTTGGATAATTGGAGACAGACATGAAAAGAATAAACAGTGATTAGATCGAATTGGAAAAGAAGGCGCAGGACAGAGTAAGTTGGGGAATGTTAGTCGGTGGCCAACACTTCAATGGGTATAACAGGAGTAAATAAATACGTCAGCATGGTTACAACATATTTAAAACATTTTCCTACACCAAACCTATTAACGACTTTTCATACTGATAATATTTAGTACCCAATGCAAGAAGACAATTACTATATGAACGAGTTCTACATTCGTAAAGCCAAATATATCGACAATTTGAAAACTCGTTTATTCAACTATAAAGCGTAAGTTGCCGTGTTGTAATAATATTGGTAGTGGAGGTTGTTGTGGTAGTTAAAATAAGAGTAAGAGTAGTAGTAGGAGTAGCAGGATAGGATAAAATTACAGTAGGGTGACTGCTCGAAGAGATCAGCCTTATTTTTTATAGACATAATGGCAAATGAAGAGACGTTTGAGTCAATAGTTCAACATTGGAGGTAGTAGATCAAACCAAGATAGATAGACTAAAACAATTATACGAATAATAGTCACAGGCCATTGATAAATTTATATAACAGGAGGTATGTAGGTAATTAGATAGTGAGGATGAAAAACGACAGTCAAAACCGTTTATGAAAATGATAACAACAAGATCGGCGATTAAGTCATATTCAGTGAAAGTTGGAACAGGGCTGTCACGAACTCCTTTTGAATGCAAACCTGGTTTATACGTTTGGATCCTTATCGCTTCGGTTTGTTTTAGGAGTAGTGGTCGAACTAGTATATAACTATGTATCATCTATGTCTGCATCGATAAAATTATTGTAATTTTCAAAACTGAGCGTTCCAAAACTACTTTGTTTGACAGGGTGACTATTAATATTGTTATAATCATTACTATTACTAATCATAATATTATTGTTATTTGTGGTACGTATGTACGCAAACTAAAATGTTGTCATTTATCTAACCGATTGTTTTTTTTATTCGATAGAGTTACAAGTACTGTTAGACATCACCAAAATTAGTCATCTTTACCTGATAGAACTACTCACCTTCCCTGAAGGCACCTGCAAACTGGTTGTAAAATAGTCTGCTTTCATTTAAAATACTATTTCATAGAAGTTCTGATAAATAGTGCTCAGTGATTGCAATCGAACTTTTCCATTGAAAATATAAATTCAAGTACAATCCATATTTTATGATTGACATTGAAACTAACTAACAACCAGACACTAGAATTGTAACCATTTACATTTTACCTGATCATTTTTGTACGATTATCATGTAAAGTAAAAAAAATTGTCAAATATGGTGACATAGATTATGGCATTCTAAATAATCAAGACTTATTTTCCTATGTGAACAGGTCCAGTTCAGCACCAATGGCATTTACAACACGTGCTTTCTACAAAGCCAATGAAAATCGGATTTATATAAGCGCAGGAGTTTTACAACCTCCATTCTACTATGAAGGAGGTAGTTTAGCTTCAAAATTTGGAGGGATCGGCTGGATTGTAAGTCATGAACTTATGCACGCCATAGGCATTACCGGTTAGTTGACCAAAATAAGTTTGTTTTTGATTTCATAAAAATAATATAAACTGACTAGTCTAAACACATTATGCATGAAATGACAATATCATTTCATCGTCTAATCAGTTGCAGTAGAAATTTACTATTCTATGGATTAGTAGGATTTATGCATCAGCATAAATTGTTGTACATATGAACAAAATCAGTTCTCTTTGAAATTGAAGATCTCAAGTTGTTATTCTTAGGAAACAACAAATTTTGTCCGGATTTACATTAAATGACGTACGAATAATATTTTGTCATTGTATACAATCTGCAAATGTAAGTGTTGAAACTTTACCAACTAGAGAATTGCACAATACCACCACTACTGTGTTTCGATAAATCCTTGAAATGAGCACATCAATGAAAGGAGGATTATGTCATGACAGCTTTCTACTTGAATAGAAATAACGAAATCATCGATTGTCACAAATATTCACATATCCAAATAAAGTACCCTAGTGACGTTTAGATGTGTTACAGAGTTCTGTAAAACATTATATTTCACCATACAACACAATGGTTCCCAGAATAACTTCAATTAGTTAAGAAGCATTTTTGACAAAATATTCCATTTTTTCGGCTTCAATTATCGAACACATGACGAAATACATGTAGAACTTTTTCACATTCATGTTGGTTACTTGTGAGTGAGTGGAGAATACCATTCATTTTATTAATCCTTGTTTCAAAGAAACTCAGTCACCATAATTCAGATTGCAAACAATACCAAGAGATATCGATCAGTAATTAGTCAGTTTATATCATTTGCGACATGGCCAACATCATTTGACTATATATGACACCGACCAATGAAGACCGAGCATTGCTTTGCTAGCGCTCTCTCAACATCAAGTTCGTTTACAGATGCAACATGGTGACATTGGGCTAATGCGGTTATGAGAGTAAATTGACGTTATCACAAATGTTCACTGATTCACTGAAAATAATCGTGCAATGTTATTGTTACTCTGGTTGTCAGAAGAAGTATACGCCTCTTGACTTTCAAAAGGACTAGGCTATGACCATGAGGAGTCATAGTTCTTCCAACTAAAGAGAAGAGATTAAATGGTTTCACTGGACTTCTCTTGGTAGGGCATATTAGAAATGTTTGCTTTCCGTAGAATGCGGTAGCTATCACTTTGTCTAACTCTCCTCCTTCATCAGTGCTTCGGACCGATAATAATCCTAGAACGGCTGATATTGTAGTTGTTGGTGTTGTGTTCTTTCATCATCGTTTATGTAAAAGCTGGTGAATATCAAGCATTAATGTACAGATTATCGAGTTCTCTTTCTTCCACTTGTTGGTTATCTATATTGTCCACTGTACTTGTAAGCTAACACTTAACATGTGTTAGAAATGATTGCAATTTCGATAAAAAATAATCCATTGATTTGTTGTATCTCAAGGTGTGTTGTACGATAAAGTTGGAAGAAAACGAACTGTCCTTTCTGCTTTGGTTTCATCTAATGTAATACAACATAGATCCTATTGTTTCAGTAATCACTATCGCTTCTATGAGTTTACTGATTTCAAAGTAAGTTCATTTTAGTCGCAATTAACAGCACACACATATATATTTAAAGTTTTGTGCAGTCATTCAGAACTTAGTAACAAAGAGCACCCATAGATAACTGCAACAACACTATTAACTTTTCATAAATTATGTGTACTTTAAAACGTTTTAGTTTACCGAAGAATATGCCTTTATAAAACATTACTCAAAAAACTAGTTAACTCATTTTGTTCAAATCATGTTCTTTGTAAAAACGAGCATTTAAATATATGGACTGTTAAATACTTGTGTATTAAACGCCACACATTCGTCATGAAAACTAAGTGTTACTGAATCCACTTCCAATGTGTTAGGTGCAGTTAACCATAATCCGAACACGATTAACGATTATTCAATGGCATACTTTCCTTGTTTACTGTAGACGTGTGCCTCCAATAAAGCCACCACTTCACCGCAATATGAATTTCGGAAATAACACCATAACACCTAGGTTTACATAAAATTGTGTAAAAGGTGTCTGAATTTAAATCAAAACATTCGTCTAATACCAATCATAAAGTAACCAGTTGAGACAGTTTAATGTTTAAGATGTCATATCTTAAACTGCGTGTAACATATCAGTGTAAAATCAGCAATTTACGAGTTGCTTGATTCAATGTTCAGAACATCACAAAAAGTGTATTTCTAATTGTTTAATTGATCTAGGCATTTCAAACAGAAACGCAGGAGGAAATTGTAGCCGATGTAGGTGGTCTGACAGTTTCTTATCACGTAAGTACCAGTGAGATACTAAATTAAAACACGAAGCATAATGTTGTCCTTCTCGCTTTATCATTTAGATATGTCAAACGATCCGGTTGCATAAAATTTCTATGAGATATTGTTTTTCTATGTGAAACCATGAAAGTGAAATGAGAACCAATGAATAATTAGTGTGCATTTGGGTTACATAAAAAGTTATTCTTCACTGCTAAAACTTTCACTATGATTAAAACAAACAGAACTACAGGCGTCTGTAGGAACAATGCATAATATTCTGCCAAGTTAGTTACCAGTATGAAAGGGTTCATACTAAATTTTCGTGAGCAAGTATATTGGTTCACAATGCATTTGATTTCTTTAGATTTCTGTAAAGTGGAGCGACGAGGTATCCAACGCTTCAGCGTCATCGATTCCTTCGAGACGCAACTAGCTGACTAACATCAAAGAGCATGAAATCTAGGTCCAGAGTTTCCTGTCGACTACGTTGAATCGCCATTTCACCTCTCAACTTAATTAACGCGATACTGAGTCCCTTCGACCAGATTTCATAACTCAATTGGATCTATAGAACTCAATCAGCACTAAAAAAGACCTATCATACACAAAGTGGATCACTTTGACTGATTAATAAACTACAACAAATCACTATTTTGCATACCTAAATTTCTTTAGTTAAGCGCTTCTCTCGACTTCAAATGACTTTAAAATAGCCAGAAGCAAATGCTGAAATCAAATGAATAACTAGACTATAAATGACACAGCAATCTGTCGAAGAACAACCATCAACTAATAACTCCGTATAAGTATTAAAACTTTGCACCGTATCAAATTTTCTAAATTTCACCGTTAATTGATGTTGGACGATCACCAACATGGTAAAATAAACATAAATTTTACCCGAGTTACATAATATTTTAGTGGTTAAACGCTGAATTTCCTGGTATCATATGTCAAGTGATGCGGTTGAAAATTCCAATGTGATTATCCGAAACATGTATGTAGTATTTGTTCACTGAGTAGAGTGATGTATAAACTAGATCATGAATCCATTCGTTTTGATTATTCATATCAGAAGCTAAGCTACCAGAAGCGTTGAAACGTGTATTCTCTATATCGACCATACATACATTCAAAACAATATCTCAGTATAACAACAACACAGACACATTTTCAAAAGACAGTGAAAAATTTATCGTAAATGTTACATCATCTAAGTTAACTTGCATTTCTTAGACATACAGGCGTTTGTTAGAGAAACACTGGAGCAGTATCAGTCAAGATTATAATCTCTCTCTTGCATCCGATCAATCGTTCTTTCTCTCATTCGCACAAGTAAGCCAAAGTTTTCTCATGTTATCAAATATGATGCAAAATTCAAACATCCATAATTCTTGTTCAAAATGATATTCTATATTGTCTGTTACATTCAAAATTTATTTGCATGACATGTGCATGAAAAATATACAAGTTTAAGTAAAAACGACATTTCATTCAAAATTAATATTCACGTACACAGGAACGGTTCTCAGTACACGTTTCATTTATACATAAATTTTCTATTATTACATTTTATATCTGGACATTAAGTTCATCCGTGTATAATACAGGCGATACTATTCCAGAAGACGTACTAACAAGTTCAATGGTTATTATTTTATAAGAGTAGATCAATCACTTGATCAAAGTCATCACCGGTAAATTACTTATAAGTAGACTGGTTTCCGGCATTGAGTTGTGCATATTCAAAATAACTAGTGTATAATTAGATCAGTTCAATTAAAGAAACTGGAAAACAGTCCAGCTGACAGGTAGACCATTGATTACAGAAATTAATGAAGTGACAACTACCAACTTGAATACACTCAATTCAAAACTGATTCATTTGAACTGTAATGTTTTTACAATATCCTAAATATTTCTGTCATTTTCGAGAGTATCCAATTACCAACGTGTGATTAGAATAGTATTTTCTTGAAAATAACTATATAATTTTGCGCTATCAGAAAAAGTGGTAACACAGCATTTCACTGAAACTCTGAGTTGCACAATATCAAGGATTGATTAGAGTTAGACATTAACACTGTTGCATGTCATCTCAGTGGTCTAGAGGTTACGTGTTCGCGCCTAAGTTCGAAGGCGTTGCGTCAATCATCGTGATTGAGGCTCCTGGATGCGCACTGCTGGTCAGTCGCATACTCGGACGAGTTAGCTGTCCAGTACATCCAGGTTTCTGATGGTGATCTAACAATGATCAATTCAAAACATCGATGAAACTCCATAATCCCTATAACTCCATTGCCAAAAATAAAGCATTTCCTAACCTTCTTTTTTGCATTGGTTTTTCAAGTCGCTGTGTGGACATCATAAAGGAATCCAGCTTCTAGTGCATTCAGTAGCAGTTCCACATGTATTGGAAAGATACAGGTGAGTATTCACTACAAATCGGTTCACATGTATGGTGCATAAATGCTTCGTTCTTTTTTATCATAAACAGTATCTGACTAAATATACACAAATGATGTGCATTACATTATACGTTCAGTGGTATCAAAGATAATAACACCCAACCTATTCAACCCTGAAACTAGAGATTTCAACTTGAATTTCGCAGCATATCATGCGGATTTACCAGTACTTGGAAGCATACTTGGTTGATCAAATTAACACTATCATCTTCGAATATAGTATTCCTGTTAC